TTTTTTTCTTTTTGCTTATGTGGTGCTGAGGAATCGAACCCAGGGCCTCAGGCATGCAAGGCAAGCGCTCTACCACTGAGCCAACTTCCCAGCCCCAAGCTTTGTCTTTTCTAGGCAGATTTCTACCACTTATGTCACGCCTCCCACCCTTACGTATTGGTCTGTCTTTATGTCTCAATGTTCACAGAGACCATGATCCTTGTATTTCATGCTTCCTGCTGTAGCTGAGCGCAGTCCACTGTGCAAAGCTGCTTCTATTGATATAGAGTCTCATGAACTTTTGTCTAGGCTGGTCTGGAACTTCAGTGCTTCCACTCTCTGCCTCCCTCAGAGCTGGAATGACAAGCCACAACTTCACACCTAGTTATTGGTTGAAATGAGGTCTTGTCCAGCTGGGTAAAAACTGGTTGAGATGAAATCCTGCTTAGTGGGGCAAAAATTTCCCATGATCCTTTCAATCTTGGTCTTCTAAGTTTCTAGAATTTCAGGCTTGAAGCACACTCTCATTTAGTCTTTTGCTTTTGATGATTGTTCATGAGGTGCCCTTTTGGCTAGCCTCTTAACATACAAGTTTATAATTAATTTGTCATTGTAACCCAGTGGGGCCACTTTTGTTTGTTTTTGATAGAACTGGGGTTTGAACTCAGAGCCTTGCCCTTATAGGCTGGTGTTGTACTACCCCTAGCTTGAGACCAGTTTTATTTCTTCATTGGATAAATGGGTGAAATGAAGTACATGTGGTTAATGAAGCCTTGTAGGTAATGGTACACTGGTGGAGAGTGAGAGGTCAGGTCACTTTGCTTGAGGAGAGGTTTCTGATGGGTGGAATCCTTTTTAGCTTTATATTTATGCAGTTAAAAGTTCACCACAAGGCTGGATGCCAGTGGCTCACGCCTGTCATCCTAGCTACTCAGGAGGCTGAGATCTGAGGATCATGGTTCAAAGCCAGTCCAGGCAGGAAAGCCGTGAGACTCTTATCTCCAATAACCACTAGAAAAACAGGAAGTGGCGCTGTAGCTCAAGTGGTGGAGTGCTAGCCTTGGGCTGAAATGCTGAGGGACAGTGCCCAGGCCCAGAGTTCAAGCCCCACGACTGACCACAAAAAAAAAGTTTACCACAGGCTTCCTGAACTTGAGACTGAATCCACACTGAAGTGTAAATACAAGTGTTAACTTCTCATGAGATTCAACCAGATTGTAATGTTCTGTCATGTGGTAAATTTATTACTTCAAACTCCCTATTTATTTAAGGAATATGTTAGAAATTAGGATAAATGTGACATTCTTAGTGTTGTTTTACAAAAATTAAAGGCTTAAAAAGAAAAAAATGTTCAAGAAGACAAATTTTAAGTGGATGTCTAACCTCTTTATACAATTAATAACCACTTAAAGTTATGAACGACAGAAAGGTAAGCAGGTTCTTTGGAGGATGGATCCTGATAGGAGGAGTAGGTGAAAGGTGAGAGTGAGTATGATTGAAGTACTTTACATACACATGGGAAAACAGAACCATAAACCTGTAGATGATGGAGGGGGACGTTGGAGAGTGATAGAGGAGTTTAATTTGGCCAGGGTATATTGTCTACATGTATGGAAATATCACAGTGAAATCCCCTTTGTGAAACTAACATATACTAATAAAAATGTTAGGGAAAAAACCCCACATTAATGATACCAACTTTATTCAGTATCTTTCAGTGAACAGAAACAGAAATCTGTGCTCACTTTGAAAAGTTAAAAAAATATTTTTAAGCCAATGTTGCTATACTCCTAGCAACTTGGGAGGCTGAGCTCTGTGGATTGCAGTTTGAAGCCAACCTGGGCAGAAAAGTTTGTGAGACTCCTATCTTCAGTAAACTACTCAGAAAAAGCTGGAATGGGTGCAGTAATTGAAGTGGTAGAACACTAGCCCAAGGACAGTGCCCAGGCCCTGAGTTCAAGCCCCAGGACCAGCACACACACAAAAATTATTTTAATTGTAGTTGCTATAAAAATTTGTGTGCAGGTAGCTTAGTTGTATGCTGACTTAACATTCCTTTGGTATTAGTCCAGGAGTACTATAGCAAGTTCTGTTTTTAGTTTTTGAGGAATCTTCATACTGATTTCCATAGTGACTGTACAAATTTATATTCCCTCCAACGGTGTATACAGGTTCCCCTTCTCCCCCCATTCTCACTAGCATTGTTTATTTTCTTGGTAACTTTCATTTTGATTGGGATGAGAGAATCTCAGTGTAGTTTTGATTTGTATTTCTCTTATGGGAAGAATGTTTTACATTTCTTCATGTATTTAGTGCCCCGTGTGCTTGTTTTGAGACCTCACTCTTCAGGTAATTTGTCCAAGTATTAATTGGATTGTTTGCTCTTTTGGTATTTAATTTTTTTTTTTTCTCGGACATGGGGCTAGACCTCGGCCTAGGCTCTGTCCCTGAGCCTGTTTGTACTCAAGGCTAGCACTCTTACCACTTGAACCATAGTGCCACTTCTGATTTTTGAGTGGCTAATTGGGGACTTTTCTGCCTGGGCTGATATCAGCTTCTCAAGTAGTTAGGATTACAGGGTAGCCTAGGATTATAGGCATGAGCCACTGGCACCAGGCTGTAGAAGCTTTTTAACTTGATGTAGTCTCATGTGTTTTTATTTCCTGAGCAACTGGAATCTTGTTCAGAAAGGTGTCCCTGTGTCTGTATCTTCAAGAGTTTTCTCTTCTGTTTTCCTCTAGCATTTTCAAAGTTTGAGGTCTTAGATCCATTTTGAATTAATTTTTATTCAGGTTGAGAGAAGGGTCTACTTTCAATTGTCTACATAGGGTTATCCAGTTTTCTCAACATTATTTGTTATACAGATTGTCTGTTCTCTCACGTACTTTTTGGTGACTTTATCAGAAGTCCAATGGTTGTAGTGTGTTTTTTGGATCTTCTATTCCATTGGTCTTAGGGCTGTTTTTCAGCCAGTAACATTGTAGCTTGTTTCTATGGCTTTGTAGGTATAATCTGAGCTCAGGTATTAGGTTACTTTTAGTGTTGTTCTTTTTACTCAAGAGTGCTCTGGCTATTTGCCATCTTTTTGTACTCCCAAATAAATTTTAGAACTCACTCTTCTGTTTCCATGAAAAATGACATTGGAATCAGCAAAATTAGTGTGGTGAAGATGGTTGTACAACCAAAAACAATTTACAGATTCAGTGTAATCCATATCAAAATTACAACATTAGCGGATGTGTGATATTTTGTCATGATTAGATTGACATGCATTTGAAGCCAGAATCTCACAGAAATGATCTTGAAACCCTATCTGTTTGAGTAATTTCTCCTTTTAGTTTCCTGGATTTTCTTTTTACCGTTCACCCTAAATTGTGTTTTCAGCAGACATTTCTTCCATGTGTTTTTCTAGACTCCAAAATGAACCTGGACGATTTCATCAGTATGGATCCTGATGTGGGATGGGGAGCTGTCTATACACTATCAGAATTTGTACATCGGTTTAGCAGTAAAAACTGCTAAACTTGACATCAGGACATGGAACTGTGGAGAAATTCTATGATGAGCCATCCTGTCATTTAGGACAGCAGACATTATGGAACAGTTGGCTTGGAGTTAAGTTTTTCTCTTTTAGTTCAGTTGAGTGGAAATATGACTGAATATAAATACAAATGAAGGAAATGAAACCTTTTCTTTGGGACTGGGGATCTACTACTGTGTTATCCTTAGCCAAAAAAGGCCCTACGTTTGGTTCTTATAATGATGCCCTAAGTATTTATTTTTGTGATCCAAATCATAAAAACAAACAAATCAAAAAACCCCCACAAAAAACAAATCTTTCCTTTTGATAATGTCAAGTTATAGTATATGATTGTTAAAACATTCCTGTGGCTCATTTGTCAGAATGTTAGAATGTTATGGTCTTATTAAGTAGAAGTATGGACTTGGAATTTGGAGCCTTTTGTCTTTTCTGGATGCTTCCTATGTTTCTTGCTATACTGAAAGCAATTCTTGGGTAGGGCTGTGAATGGTGGCTCTGTGATTCTCCAATGCCCGTAAGAGATGCCCATAAAATGTTTCTAGAGACAGCACAGCTGCTTGGAAAGGGACAGTATTGTAGGCTGAATCAGCAATAAGTATTAGTCATTTTGGACTATCATGGTAAAAAAAAAGTTTGCAATTCTCTTGGGCTGAGTGTTATTTGACCTATTTATATATGGTTTTAAATAAAATTTACTTAAAATTAACTTTGTTTTGAAGAGTTTTTCTTCTGTGATTAAACCTAGGGCCTTGAACATGTATATGCTAGGCAAGTGTTAGATCACTGAGCTGTATCCAACTCTTTGTGTCCATTGTGACACGAAATATATACGAATGTATTACTCACAGAAATCTCGCTTATAATTCCAAATAAAAGGTATTTTCTAATATGGTCCTTCTTCTAACCAGGATGTCCCAGTGTTTTTTCATAGATGAAAAAAAGAGAAAAAGTTTCTACTTGTTGAGAAAATTCTACTTATTCAGCAACTTTCATTTCACATGAGTCCTCAGCTCTGAGCTGTGTGGGGAGGAACTGCAGTCAGATACTCAAGAGTCAAAGGAATGCTGCTTCCCCGGTGTGCTCAGCTAACAAGGAAGATTCTGGAAGTGAAAGAACTTCTTACTGTGTAAGAATAAAGCTAAGATGACTTAGAGCTAAATCTGGACCCCACACTTCGATAGCTTCATTGAATTTCAGATGGTCCTTCAAAAAGTTCGAGGCTGTCAGGAAGAAGATAAATTTTGGCAGGCTGCATGATAGAAATACTGTATCCTGAGCAAGAAGAATCAGCAGAGACCAAAGGACTGTAATCTGATGTACAAATCGCATTTTTGGGGCCTGTTTTATGAGCATGTTTCCAATCTGGTATTCCAAATTATGTTCAGTACAGATAGATCAGATAATGTCTGATGTTTGATGTTTGAACGTCCCCAGCTACCTTGCCTTGAAACAGAAAAACTATTATTTTAGTCAAGTGGAGGTTTTAGAGTTTCAAGCCTGCTAAAATATCCGTGATCATAATCTTGACTTGTTAGAAGCAATAGAAGACAGCTGTTACTTTATTATTTATTTTTGTCCCCAGCACTACTAAGATGCTCTCAGGAAATCTTCTTTGAGTCTCATGGCCTCTATGAGTCTATTGGCTTCTGGGTACATTGGTTTCACAAAGCATGTTACCTTGGAAAAACCACTTGGCATCTCTGGGTCTTGGTTAGCTCTGCTAAGAAGAATGATTTTGAGTTTTACATGCACTTATGGGAGAGAAGAGAGAATGATATATAGAGTGAACATGTGTTGCATGCTTAGTATGTACTGTTAGTTTTTCTAAGTTCTTTGCATGTATAAACTCATTTAATCTCAAAACTACAGTGTAGGCTTGCTACTTTTTTTGGGGGGCAGTTTTGGGGCTTGAACTCAGGGCCTGGGTGCTGGATGCTGTTCCTGAGCCTCTTTGTGCTCAAGGCTAGTGTTCCAGGGCTTGAACTCAGAGCCTGGGCTCTGTCCCTGAACATCTCTGTGCTCAAGGCTAGTGTTCTACCATTTGAGCCACAGTGCCACTTCTTGCTTTTTTTTTCTCTTCTGTTTATGTGGTACTGAGGAATCGAATCCAGGGCTTCATGCATACTAGACAAGCACTCTACCACTAAGCCACATTCCCAGCCCCAACTTTTGGTTTTTGAGTGGTTAATTGGAGATGAGAGTCTTACAGAGACTTTTCTGCTCCAGCTGGCTTCGAACTGTGATCCTCAGATCTCAGTTACTGAGTAGTAGGATTACAGGCATGAGCCACCAGTGTCTGGCCAGCCATGCTACTTATTATTGTCCCCATGTAACAGCTTTAAAAAACAAGGCACAGTCAGGCACTGATGATTCATGCCTGTAATCCTTGCTACTCAGGAGGCTTAGATCTGAAAAATTGTGGTTCAAAGCCAGCTTTGGGCAGGAAAGCCCATGGGCATCTCATCTCCAATTAACCACCCAAAAGCTGGAAATGGAGCTGTTGCTCAAGTGGTAGACCACTAGCCTTGAGCACAAGAGCTTAGGGACAGCACCCAGGCCCTGAGTTGAGGCCCCAGGATCAGCACAAAGATAAAAAATATCAAGGCACAGCCAGGTGCCAGTGGTTCACTGCTGGGCAGGCCCCACGTGGGGAGAAGTTTATACAGCTGATGATGAGGGAAGTGGAGCTTGCTCCTCAGATGATAAAACTCCACGTCTCAGTCCCATACCAGTCATGGGACCTGCTTAGTTATCTGGTTGGCTTCTTATGTGACCCCTACTGGTGCTTCCTAGAGTTGCTTCTCCCATTAACCACTCACATGTAGTCTCTACTTAGAGAAGGTTTTTCACTTGTAGTAGCAAGTCTAGAATGTTAGCACAGTCCTCCTTAGCACAAATCATGCCATTTTGTGCTTGACCATATTTGGTATATACTAGGTAGTTTCACATATCTGACTTCCTTGTTAAGAGTCTGGTCTATTAGATCAGAAATCTGGACCGGACAGGCACTATGGCCTTGGTGAAGCTATACAAAAGACTAAAAAGACCTGGCTTTCAGAGTGTAGAAACTTCTTAAGGAACCATGGAGAGGAGGGAATTAGAGCAAGAAGAAGAATGAGGAGGTTGAAGAGGCAGTTAGTGTATGAAATTTAAGTGTAAAAGAGGGATCCAGCCAGTCACTGGTGGCTCATGCATTTAATCCTTCCCAGCCAGGTGCTGGTGGCTCACACCTGTAATCTGGCCTGTAAGCTACTCCAGTGGCTGAGATCTGAGGATCATGGTTTGAAGTCAGCCCAGTCTAAGAAAGTCTTTGAGACTCTTACCTCCAGAAAATTGGAAGTGGAGTTGTGGTTCAAAGTGACAGAACACTAGCCTTGAGCAACAGAACTCAGGGATAGTGCCCAGGCCCTGAGTTTAAGCCCCATGATCACCACCACCACCAAAATCCTAACTACTTAGATCCAGAGGATGACAATTTGAAGCTAGCCTGGGAAGAAAAGTCTGAAAGATTCCATCTCCAAAATAACAAGCAAAAAGCAGTATTGGAGCCAGATGCTGGTGGCTCTGCTTGTAATCTTAAATACTCTGGTCTGACATCTAGAAGATTATGGTTTGATACCAAGCCAGCCTGGCCAGAAGAGTCTATGAGACTCCAACTCCAATTAACTAGCAAAATTCTGGACTGGAGACATGGCTAAGTGGTAGGGTACCAGCTGTAACAAGAGAGTGGCCTCTTGGAAGCCAAAGTAGAGTGTCAAAGACAGTAAACCTAGTGGGCTCAAAAAAGAACAAAAAACTTGAGGGAGAACTTGAGAGTTCTAGTAAAATAGTGAAAGAACCCTATGTGGGTATACCTGAAAGGTGGGGGTAGGGGAGTTGCTTACATTTGTTTTTTCACAGTGCATTTGCCATTTTAACTTTGCACAACATGTGATGGATTCTTACCAGAGTAATATCTGTAAATCAGAACTGGAGGGAGATTTTTCCCTATTACTATTCCATGTTTATTTTGTATTAGTTGAAGATTGAACGTTCATCATTTCTTCTTGCCAAATGGGCCTGCTTCCATTAAGTGTATTTTTTCCAGTTTATTGTTTTAGAGGTGATATATAGCAGGGTTACCTTTACATACATCTTGGAATAAATACCTTTCCTTTCGCATAGTGTCATCTGTTCTGCAGGGAGATTAAAAAAAAATTAGTTTAATTATTGGGGGGTGAGGGTGGAGATTTCATGGTCACATTTCCAGTCCTGTTCAGAGTGTATCCCAGTCAGTCTCACCAACACTATTACTCCTTCCCCGCTCCCAAAACAAGTGCAGCAGCTCTCATTACTACATCTTCGTCGTTGCAAACATTGTATTTCAATCTTATTCAACTGCTTTCATCCTCCCTGTTAGCCCAACCTGTGGAGGGAAGAAGCTTTGATCTTTATAAGGCATTAGAGTGTTCAAGAAACTGCCTTAGGAGTCTCTTCAATAGATATGAATAATCAGTGAACACTTCCTGAACTCTTAAGTGCTGAGCTCCAAGCTAATCGTGGTCTGCATTACCTCATTTAATCCTTCTAGGTCCCCTTTGATCTAGGTTCTAGTATCATCCTTCCTTCACAGAACAGTAAGCCAGTGCTTAAAGAGGTTACCCAACTAAAAAGCAACCAGTCATATGCAGTCCAGAGCTGTGTAATTCCAAAGCCCATGTCCTCCACAGCAAGGCTAAGGGTGTACCGAACCCACCTCCATCCCAATTCTGTTCCTGCCTTTCCCTTCCCCATCCAGGCTTCCCTTCACTGGAATTGAGGTTCAGATTTTGATACTGTGTACTTCGAACTGGGGAGCAGGAATTATGCAGTTGGTTAGGGAGTAGATTCGTTAAAAAGTTTTTTTATTTTTGGAGTCAAGGTCTCTGTATGGAGTTCCAGTCTAGCCAGGACTGGAACTTCAGCTTGAATTCTTGGATTACAGGCGTGTCTTACAGTGCTTGGCATAAATGTGACATTTTGATCACCTCTGAAAGTTTGTCTGAAAGTGCTTTTCTTGCAGTGGATAGGTCTCCACAAATGCATTCTTGCTTTCTTGGTACACCAGGGGGAGCACCTCACACAGGATTGAGACCATTTGAGGGGTGCGTCTTCTCGCTCTTGGCAGGAAATACTCTTCATCTTGCTTGTTCATTATTAAATAAATTGTTTTTATTTAAATTTTATTATTTTTTGCCAAGCAATTTGAAAGCCAGTTACACACATTATGAAACTTCACCTATAAACAGACACTAGCTGGGCGCTGGTGGCTCATAGCCTGTAATTCTGATTACTTAGGAGGCTGAGATCTGAGGATTGCAGTTCAAAACAGCTGGGTCAGGAAAAGTTTGTGAGACTATCTCCAATTAACTACTGAAAAGCCAAAAGTGGAGTTGTGGCACTAGCCTTGAGGAAAAAAGCTAAGACCAATACCAGGCCCTGAATTCAAGCTCCAAAGAAAAACATTAAAGCAGAATTTTAAAAGCAGAAAACTGTTACGACAAGCCAGGTGCTAGTGGCTCACACCTGTAATCCTAGCTACTCAGGAGGCTGTGATCTGAGGATCATGGTTCAAAGCCAGTCCAAGCAGGAAAGCCTGTGAGACTCTTATCTCCAATAACCACCAGAAAAACAGGAAGTGGCGCTGTGGCTCAAGTGGTGGAGTGCTAGCCTTGAGTTAAAGAGCTGAGGGACAGCGCCCAGGCCCATAGTTCAAGCCCCAGAACCAACAAAAAACCAACAACAACAACCTCCCCCAAAGAACATTAAGACTGTCTTCTATTTAATCACATGATTCTTATGTCTAAGAAATTTAATATTGTTGC